GGCGGCCGCTGCTCTCCGCCCGCCCGGGTCGCGGCTCCCCGCGGGTCCCGGCAGCTGGGCGGTGGCGGCGTCTCCTCCCGAACGGCTCCGCATCGAAAAGTACCGAAACGCCAGCGGATTCGGGCCGATTTTGACTTTCCGGCCCGCCCCCCGGCTCTGCCCGGTCCGTCGGCGTTTCTTTCTCGGAAAGCTCAGCTCCTCAGCGGAGCCAGGCCCTTTCCGCTAAATGTTATTTGGAGCATATGTTTCGCGCATTCAGTTCTCTTTCAGTCTATTCTTCTGGGCGCTAACTGCTAACACGTTATAGTCACCTTGAAATTTCCTCTGCTATTTTCCAATTAAAAGCTTAATAGCCCTGGAAACGGAGTTCATGTGGTGCAGTTTACCATAGACCCTTCTTCTGAAAAGCTTTCTGCTGAGATCCCATTATGTGCTTGAATAAACCTTTTCTGCGAGCAGAAATGGGAACCGGGGTTGTCAGGTGTTGGGTTACAATAGACTTTCAGGCAGGGGACGTTTTGCTAACATAAATACGAACCTGGCCCTATGGGGAGATGTTGTCAAATACTCGGACACGGAAAACATTCCCATCAAATATGAGAAAAGGATTACGGCACTATATCAAACGAGTGTTTCAGCCTAAACGCCCGCTGTGCAGCCAAGCGAGAGAGGGGCCCCCGGCCCTAAGCCAGCCCGCCGCCTCGCCGAGGCAGCCCGGCCCGGGAGCAGGCAGTCGCCCGGCCGGCCCCGGTGGCGGAGGCTCCCTCGGGTCCCGCTCCTGCTCGCGGGGCAGGAGGGTATTCCGCCCCGCGCCGGCACTTGCACCCCGCTTCTTCGTTTTGGGGAAAAGGATTCCCGAGGGCGGCTGCGCATCGTCTTTCACGCGCCCCTTGCAATTTTGGGATGGCCGAATATTTGTTTGGTCCGCGGAGGACGCACCGCTGGTTTGTTTTTCTCCGCCCGACGGGGACCCACGAGTGTGCAAGGTGCCCCGCGGGGGACGCCGGTTCGCGGTACGGCGGGCTGCAGAGCTGTCCGGGCGCAGTGCGCGCACCCCGGCAGCAAAGAAAGGGAGATCTCACCGGCGCTGCGGGGAAACGGACTGTTCCCCGCACCTGATCCGACTCACCTCCCCGCCTCGGTGCGGTTAACCAACCCATGGGGCGCTCATCCTCCCTCACACCCCGCACACGGCCCTGGGGAGAAAGATCTCCCTGAGTCGCTCTTCCCCTAGAAGTGGAAAAGTAATTAAGAGCGAGCCAAGGCATTAAGTATCACGCGAATACCTTCGTAGCACACGCCGCGCTTTTTATTCTCTCCGGCGAAATACTTCCCGAGTTCTAAATCTTATTTTCTAATTACGTACCCTCGTTAAATGGTTTATTTTGTGTAGCGGTTACAGTGGAGAGGTGCCTGGGAAAAAGCAGGGGAGATCTTGGGGCAGCGAAACGGGTTCCGGTCCAAGCAGCAGCGCCTGCTGCCCGCGGGCTCTGTACTTCTAAGTACCGGTGCGCGGGCAGATAAACGCTTGCAGTGAATTTGTGTCGTCCCCCCCCAGTCGATATTCCCATACCTTCTCTTACTAATATATTACACTTGGATTTAAACTTCTCGCTGCCGTGTTGGAAATTGTTTCAGCGAGAGACCTCCCCGCGGCCGCAGATAAAGAAAATTCCCCCCCCGCCGCATCAGACGCATCGAATAGGTTGCAAGCTATCTGGCTTGCCCTGAATTACACTTGCCTTTCTATAGCCACCGTTTGCATTTAAGTAGCTGTCATGGCGAGGGACGCGGGAGAAGCGGCGGGTAGCGCGGGGGCAGGCAGCCGTCCGCAGCCGCCCGGCTCCGCGCAGCTGCTCCCGGGCAGCTCCAGCTCCCGCTCCCGCGCAGCTTCTCGCGGCTTCAAAACTTCGATAAAACTTTGGGC